TTAGCTCATCATTTGATTCAAATGAAAACAAATCACGATTCTCAGCCTGTTTATCAATGCTTGTGGCAGCAACATAAGAAAGCCCAGTGAGTGCAGGTTGCTTTTGTTCTGGAGATGTATCAAATGTAGCCCACCCAACATTGTCCATTGACGAAGCTGCTGGTATCACTTTATCAGCAGATGGAGTTTCAGTAAGCATGTTTGAAAATAGATCAACAGATTGATCCATGGTAGTTACATTATGTTCCTGAGTAGCTTTGGAATCTTGATTTGGAGCACTAATATCATCAGAGAAGGCTATGAAATTTGGAGCAGCGGAATTTGTGGATTTTTCAGTTCTCTGAACATTATCATCCTCAAAAATCAAATCAAATAAGCTTGACTTGCCTGATTTAAGAGAGACAGAATCTATGTTTCCTGCTGATACAGTTCTCTGCAAAAGAGACTAGAATATTTATTTAATGCGATAGAAATGAGAGTTGATGGTTTTGAAAAAAAGATATTTCTACCCACCTGTGAACTAGTGAGTCCACAAGTACTCTGTACATTTGATTGATCTTGTAGCACAGGGGGGCTGAAACATACACTATCAGGAAAAATAGGTGATTGTGGTGCAGATTTAACTGTATCACCCGTGCTTGACCCTGAGCAGTTAGAAGTCCTCGATCCACACCTCTCACTAGTAAATACACCCTGAGACATTCTCTCACGCAAGCTATGTGAACTGTAAGAATATCCAGAAATCTTCCCCTCATGCCCCCTATCTGAACCAGGCTTCCTACTTAGAAATGCAGATTGCTTGCCATTGCGCCTCTCTTCATACTGGCAATCATAAGGTGGGCTCTGTGAAAATGAATGGTAGGAACTTGGCTTTCTATGCTCTTCTTCATGGGCCTTTTGGTTCTGCAAAGATGTAATATAATTTACTTCTGAAAGATGCATTGCTGCAAGATGTGCTAGGATAGGTACATTATAAGAAGGCTTTACTTGATGAATAAAACATAAGTGAACTCTAATCACAGGTACACCTCCTTAAGTGTTCGGTGACGTCTACAGATACAGCAGCACACTTGCTGAATCCACTGAACCGACAAAAGACAATTTTCAGGCAGGATAACACCTAGACTTCTAAGATCCATCCAAATTTACCTGTTTATCTCTTGGAGGCCTTTCAGAAAATCTACCACCAGCATACCTTCTCTCCACATAGACAGCTTTCATGAATTCCCTAAGACTGCCAGTGTTGCTGCAACAATAGGTTATAGTCAGAGCATGTGTTTGATAATAAGTAAAAGATACACACATAAAAGTGGTTGAACCCTTATCCTTTACCTGCTATCAGGTAGCCTCATTTTCTGGGTATCAAAGTCCTTCAGGAATGACTCCTTGGCACGCTGTATCAATCAGCTGAAGTGTCACGACATGAACGAAAAGGGCATCCCCTAGCCTCAAACAACAAACTCACCTGGTTCCCACCTTTCTGGAGAGCCTCGATCTCTTGCGTGTTGAACGTTGACATGGAGATGGATTTCACACGGTGCGTGAACTCTCGGCTACAAGTGCATCGATCAGTGTGTTAGGATAATAGTACTAGAAGAGATCAAAACATCAGCATGTGCAAATCCGACTAGTTAAGTCATCTTCTTCAGAACTTTGTTCCCTTATCTAAAAAAAACTCGAATTCGAAAGTTTTGACACGGCAACATCTATTCGCACTACGGTGGCAAAAGAATGCATTAAACCTTCAACTCCACAAGCTTTGGCACTGAACTGAAGCCAGCAAGTACTGCATTAAACCTTCAACTCCACAAGCTTTGGCACTGAACTGAACCCAGCAAGTACCGCCGACTAGAATGTATCGCTGTTTGGATAAACGCGCATTGCATATCCCATTCCAACAAACGTGACAGAATAACAAGAGAGCAATGCCGATAACAACACACGTGTATGGAATCCAGTAGCAGGCGCGGAAAAAATGGCAAGGCAGCACTCACTGGATACCGCTGCAGGAGACGCAGACGAAGGTCCAGAAGCTGGTGCACACGTACTGCGGCCCCTGGATCAGAAGTCACAGACGCACAAGCACAGGCCGGCAAAGTGAGCAAACATTGAGCACCGCCAGCGGATCAGAAGCCGCGGGCCACATGGAACAATGCGGAAAAGGAGCACTTACGAGCCCGTTGCAGTTGACACATCTGCGGTTGGGCGGCAGCTTGAGGAGCCCCCGCACGATCCGCTCGTTCCTCTCCTCCTCCTTCCTCGACGCGGCCGCCATCGATCACTATCTGAGCAGCGGCTTTGGGCCGCTCCACCGCCCCGTCTCCCGGATCGAGCGCGGCGCCCCGCCGGCGAGCTCCGAGCGATTTCCGCGAGCGAAGAGTGGTCGCCGGAATCGGAGGGAGCAGGGCGCTCCCGTGAAATGGGTGCGGTTCTTTTGTAGCGGGAGGAGAGCAGAGAGCAGCAGCAGCGAGGCGTGGCGGAATGGTGGGAGAGAGTGGACTGGCGACTGGCGTCGTGCCTGTCCGTCTGCGGGCTCGGCGTTGGTTTGCGCTTGGTTTCTTCCGTTTCGAACTGGGGCTACCGCTGTCGCTGTGAGTGATGGGGAACTGGGAGAGCTTTTAACCGTCTGCCATTACGAGAGATATTCACGGTCTACGTGCCACTAAAAATTACGCTAAACTTTCTTGTTTTTCACGTCGTCTCATCCATTTTTGCATTGCATGAAAAGTCCAGACTGACCCTAGGTCTGAACACTACACACAAAAAAACACACACACACGGACACGTTAGTGGCCAGGCACGCTTGCGAGGTGGGGCCTCTGGTGCCGGCCGGCTGCGTCCCAGCACAGTGGTGGGCTGGGAGGGGTCGTGGATGCAGCACACCCGCCCGAGGAGGTCGCCAGCGCTGGTGCCGGCGGAGTCGAGAAGTGCGCAGTGGCCACGAGCACCAGCAGGAGCTCCCGGAGGCACAGGGGCGCAGAGCGCGGCAGGCTCGCGGCTGCGCCGCACAACAGCAGGTCTTTGAACACGGCCGCATGGGCGAGCTCCGGTCCGAACGCGCCCCGGCCACCGGAACGGCATGCGTGAGCTCGTACCGCCGCGGCGACCATGCCGTGGTACGACCGAACGGCCGCGCCGTGGGGCATTGGCGCGCGCGAGCCCCATGAGGAGCGAGGTCCAGGTGACGACATCCCCGTGCGGCATTTCATCAAATAGGACCGTCAGGCGGCGGCGCCGCGTGATGAAAGCGGCAAGCGTAAACCGACGAAGTGAGTGAGCGAGCTCTGCGCACCACCATGGGCGCAGCAGACCCGGCGATCTAGGCGCTGGTGCACGGGCTTGCGCGTGGCTAGGCGCAGGCTAACGCAGGAGACGACAAGGGCCCGGCAGCCCCGGCGAGGCACCTGGCGCTGAGGTGTGCGGTGCACCCACCCTTGGCCGGGCCAGGGAACGAACCACCGCCGCCGCCGCCGCCCGATCATGAAAGAAAGTAATTCAGCCGCCGCCGCGGGCCAGTGCACACGAGCGACCGACCAGTGCTTTCTTGCCGCTCGCCGTGGGCCCCACGCGGTCTGGCCGGTGATGGTAGCCGCAAGCCGCGCGCTCCCCTCTCTGTGTTCTAGCTTGGCATGGCAAGCCCATATCCTCAGCCCTCAGCTCGCGCTACTCTTCTTGAGGAGGAAGCGTTAGAGTCGCTGACAGCTTGGCCCCACCCGGCGGAGAGAGAAAGAGGTAGACGAGGAGGTTACGAGAGAAGAGTATTTTAGACGTTTTCACTGGTTGAACCCACGTGTCAGGACTGGCAAACGGTAAAAACTAGACAGAAGGTGGACGGAATGGCTTAGGAGAAAAAAAATGTCATAGTATATAGATGTATTCAAACTTTTTAGTGGCACGTAGTCCACGACTATCAGGTAAAAAAAGGCTCAATTGGGGATGGCCGGACATAGGAGGAGACCGGGTGACCTGTACTGTACGTTGGTAGCGGCAACGGCTTAATTTTTTAAACAAGGTTTTTACGCCCCTAAACCAAACTGCCCGTGATGTTTGTTGTACATACAAGGCCAAGCATACCCTTTTCTCGATTCTTTTCTGGAAAAGAAAAAAAATCCGCATCAGTACTACTATGTATGGATTTCTACGACCTGTGTGCATATAAGCATATTTCATCTCATTATTAATACTGGTGGATGGATCTGGGATGACCAATAATGGAACTGGACTGGACACAAGGAGCTTGTGAACATCATGGAAAACAGCAATAACAACGCCACCAGATTCCGGTCCCATCCGGGGATCTTGCTTCGCGCCTTCGCCTCAAACTACACGGCCAAACGCGGCAAACCTGTGTCATCTTCGGTTCTTCCACCCACCGTTCGCATTCACAGCAAACTGTCCAACAGGCTGTGACCGAAACGTAGAATTTCTTCTTGTGCTCACCCGCCCAAGCGACACAGCTAGCCTAGAAAATATAATCTGCTGATCCGGCCAAAAGGCCGGCTCGCCCAGAACGCGTGAGACTGGCAAGAGGCGGATTTGGTTGTTGAACAGCTAGGCCAAAATGCGGCAGCTGCTGGATCCCTTGTTAGGTGCACCGATCGAAGATGGATGGGGGGCGTTGGCGCTGTTGGGTTTGAACTGGCATGGCACCACAGCTACGATTATTTCGCAACCACCAGTGTCATCCGGATTACCGGAAGGTGCAACCACACGCATGCATGAACCAAATCCGTGGACCCAAAGGGCATGCCATGGTCCTCTTCCTCTCCTAGCTCGCTGGTACTACTAGCTAGATCTTGAATCTCAGCTGAGCTGGTATCAAACCTACTACCATCGGACACAGCATTAGGCCCTCAGATTCATGCCCATGCTCTCCTCCTTTTTATTTTCGATAATGCTCTAGCCCGAGCATCCGACGCTCAAAAATACCATACAGACTCCAGACTATCCCACAGACAACAACAATCACTCATTTCTAATTAATTCTTATCCCCTCATTCTTAGCCTTCACCAACACCGCACTCCTGCTCTGCCTCTTTCTTCAAAATCGCATCTGCCAGCTCCACTCTGGCCCGCTGCGCGCCCTTCTCCCACCGCGCCACACCCCATCGCCGGCCACGCCCGCGCCCCATTCCCTGCCACACCCACTCCACCTCTTGTCGTCGCAGCCATGGTGTCACCTGGCCACCACCAACCCAGTGCCACCAGTAAGAGGTCGTCATCGTCTAGGACATCGTCTCCTGCGGCCAGCCGAAGACATGACGGCAGGAAGGAAAGCCCTGTAGCAGAGGTGTATGCTGGGTCGTTGTTCTCGACATCCCCCCTGACCCGAGCTTATGTTGGCTACAGCAGTCCTCTACTAGGTAGGCCGTGGCCACACGGACGAATGTTGTGTTTCAAGTGTTTTCATACTTTTGTTTCAAGTGTTTTATTTGGGTGTTGCAAAAGTAAATCTCGAATGTTGCATATGCTGTAATGACAAAATACGCATGTTGTAAGCCTACGTTTCAAGTGTTTCAGGTTTTTCAGACATACGTTGCAAATGTTTCATTTTGATATTTTAAAAGTAGATCTTGATGTTGCACATGTTGTAATGGGGTTGCACATGTTGTAATGGGCTACACATGCATGTTTCAGACCTATGTTTCAAGTATTTCATTTATTTTTAGACGTATATTGTAAATATTTCGTCTAGATATTTCAAAAGTAGATTTAGTACTCCCTCCATCTCAAATTGTAAGACGTTTGACTTTTTTGACCCCAAGTTTGACCACTCGTCTTATTCAAAAAATTTGTGCAAATATAGTCAAATTTAAGTCATTCTTGAAGAATTTTTATTAATAAACCAAACCACGACGAAAGAAGTGATATTTTACACAAATTTTTCAATAAGACGAGTGGTCAAACTTGATGTCAAAAAAATCAAACGTCTTATAATTTGGGATGGATTAAGTATTACACATGTCGTAATGTCGCAGGTGACGCCACCACCTCTCCTTGTCCGCGAACTGCCTGACCAACGCCACGGTGCGTCCTGTCGTGGTCACCAGCAGCTCTGACGCCTTGCCTCCTGGGACGACATAGTCGAGGGAGACGACATAGGCAAGGCAAGGAAGCGGAGGGAATGGCGTCGCAGAGCAGCAGGCACCGGCGATTCGCTAGCCATACCTTTTTATTTTTTGGACAACATTTTGTAAGAGGAGGGTCCAGAATTGGTGTTTAGTTTTGGGCCATCCCAGAAAATTCAAGCCCAAAATGGACTATCCGGCCTGGCCTTCGTTCGGCCCTTTCAGGCTGTAAATGGGCTCAGGCTCACCTCTTCTTTGCACAGAGAAAACGAAGGGTCCAGAACGATTACCGACCACGGTAGCAAGCAGCACAATGCATCGGCAGCAGAGCCACTGTAGCACGCGTCGGCCTCCGGTGCGAAGCGGCGCGCCGGTCACGTACGTGTCACTGGTTTCTGTCTCCCTACATGAATCCCACGTGTCCGTCCTTTCGGAGGTACGTGTCCCGCTCTCATTTCTCAGGACAGGGTATTTATCTACACTGCGTTAGTTCACTAGTGTGCTGCGACGCTTCAAACCCAGTAACACGATCTAGTAGCTCAGAGACCAGGCGAAACAAACACTACTGTGTTTCGAGAAGCCGAGGCTACACCGAGTCACCGACCGACCGCCATGGCATCGAGGCAGAACACGCGTGAGGCGCGCGCCGAGGCCGACGCGCGGCGCGCCGTGGAGGAGCTGGCGCGGGCGCGTGACGAGCACCTCGAGAAGGCGGAGTTGAACGCCCGCTCGGCCGCGGACGAGATCGCGCGCTCGCGCGCCGACCGCGCCGGCGCCGGTGGCGGCGGCATCCTGGAGAGCGTGCAGGAGGGCGCCAGGTCCTTCGCTAGCGCCGTGGGCCGCACCTTCGGAGGCGCCAAGGATTCGGCGGTGGACAAGACGTCGCAGACGGCGCAGGCCACGGGCGAGAAGCTCGGCGAGTACAAGGACTACACCGCCGAGAAGGCCCGGGAGACCAAGGACAGCGTCGCGCAGAAGACGAGCGAGACGGCGGAGGCGACCAAGAACAAGCTGGGCGAGTACAAGGACAGCGCCGTGGAGAAGGCGAGGGAGACCAAGGACGCGGTGGCGCAGAAGACTAGCGAGAACGCGGAGGCGACCAAGAACAAGCTCGGGGAGTACAAGGACGCGGCGGCCGGGAAGGCGCGGGAGGCCGTGGACACCACCGCCGAGAAGGCGAGGCAGGCCAAGGACGCCACCAAGCAGAAGGCCCAGGAGACGATGGGCGCCACCGCCGAAAAGGCGAGGGAGGCCAAGGACGTGACCAGGCAGAAGGCGAGCGAGTACACCGAGGCTGGCAGGGAGGCCGCGCAGGAGGCCAGGGACAGGACCCGGGCCACAGCGCAGACCGCCGCCGACAAGGCAAGGGAGACGGCCAGCACTCACGACACCGATAAGTATATGTCCTGCCGTATAGCAACAGTTAATCTCGAGTGATCGAATGATTGTTGATCGTGTGGTTTAAATGCACGCAGGGGGCAGGGACAAGGTCTGCTGGGGGCGCTGGGGAACGTGACGGGCGCGATCAAGGAGAAGCTGACGCTGGGCCAAGGCCAGCAGCAGCAGCAAGTCGATGTCCGGCTGGGCGGCGAGGACGAGCGCGCGGCGAAGGAGCGCGCGGCTGAGAAGGCGGCGTCGGTGTACTTCGAGGAGAAGGACCGGCTGATGCGGCAGCGCGCGGAGGAGCGGGTGGACCAGCGCGTGGAGAAGTGCGTGGAGGGGTGCGCCGGCTCGTCCTGCGTGCACCGCCAGGGGAAGATGTGATGGCGTGGCGCGCGCCCGCCGCTACGTGCCGCGCCTTCGTGTGCCGTCCCTGCATGCGCGTTAGGCGACAATAAACTGTTACACTAGGAGCCTTCCGTGATGTTTTACTTCTGTGCCCTTTTGCTGTTATGGCTATGTTTATTTTCGCTCCTGTAAGGTACTACTCAAGACTGTCTCCGACAACCAACGCTTCAAAAATACAATATCCATTCCTTTAAGTAACCCTCTAACTAAATAGTTCAATACCTATTTTTGATCTTCTCAGTCCTGAGAGGATACTTAGATTTGGGTTATGCATCTCTTAGCACCTAAAATGGGTCTCCAGGAGAAAGTTTTGGGGTTATGTCTCTCCTGACACCTAAAATGAATCCCCATGAGAGAGGATAGATTTGGATTATGCCTCTCTTGGCTCCTGGCACTTAAAATGAGTCCGATTTGTGTTATGGCTCTCCTGGCTCCTGGCATCTAAAATGAGTCTTCTATATTAGTACTCTGTTTGAGGCTATAGATACTCTGTCAGAGGTGCAGACTATAGGTATTGGGTTGAAGACTCATTTTAGGTTTGTGTTTCGCAATGGGTCTCATATTGGAGACAGCCTAAGACTGTCTCCAACAACCGCGATCTAAAATACAAGACATATTCGTCCTTTGAGTAGCGCTACATGCAAACGGTTCAATATTTATTTTTGGTCTTCTCCAACAATAAGACCCAAAAGACAACCCTTTCTGCAAATGGATCTTCAGGGGAGATGATACTCAGATTTGGGTTATGCCTCTCCTAACATCTAAAATAGGTCTTCCATATAAATATTCTGTTGAATGCTATAGGTATTATGTTGAAGACCTATTTTAGATTTGGGTTTCGTAATAGGTCTCCTGTTGAAGACGGCGTAAGACACCATTTGGATGGGAACACCTTTTGTAATATAGCAGTGACTCGTTTTTCTCTTACCTCTACAAATAAAACTGCTTGTAAGTCAAGAGTGAAATGCACTATGGATCCGTGGGTGTTATATAGGTCTCCAAATTTCAAAATGGTATTTTTAGTTCTAAAGTTAAGTTCAGGTCTTATCGAGGTCTAAACGGGCGTCCTAAGTCTAAACGGGTGAAAGTTGTTTTTAGGTGCAAGCAGGCATCCTAAAGTTGCCCGTGGGTGCGGGGTTAATAAGATAAAAAAAAAGGTTTATCGATCCTAAGAGATACAGATCCATAATAGACATAAAAATTATTATATGCCAAGTACCATCAAAAGTAGGTCCCGTTCGTGTGCTCTTAAACTCGGCTTGATCCGCTTCTTTTTTTATCCGGAACAGTATTTTCCTCTCACAAATTTCTCCAAACCATCCAAATTCCTCCAGAACCATACCATCCGAACGGGGCCTAAGGGTTTTCGAAGATGAAATGTCTAATGTTTTTTTTTACTTGGAGAATTAATAGGACTATTGCGAGCGGAATGAGAGCAGGGCGAGCTTTAAATGAATCGATCTATTATCGGACAATCTTATTGGGAATAACAAGGGCTTCTCTGAAGCAAGTTTTCAAAGCGGAACAACGAGTTTAGAAGGCACGTTCTTGAAAGAGCAGGCTGACTATGAAACTCATATAAGGCTCGCGATCGGGTGCATTGTTGACTCAGGGGCAGTTTCATACCCATTCTATCGGGGCCTAAATGCTGGAGTTCCAGAATGAATTCTTACTTTCTTAGAAGGCTTCCTATATACTTAACACATTGACATCTAAGGCTATAGTGCTGCTTCGGGTGATTTGCAGGGTGCCTCCCGTGGGCATGCCTGCTACGCTGATTAAGCGGGTAGGCATCTGGATAACTTACAAGATATGTTTATACGTGCCACCTATCATTTGATACTGCCTGATCAAGTCTTTGGATCAAGTATGTTTAGAAAAAAAGAATATGCATATGAAATCAAGCAAGAGGATGCGCGAAAGCTGTTACGCTAACACGCATCCTCGGTATCTAAAAGCTACCGTCAAAGAGGGGATTGCCATAGCTACCGTTGCTGAACTCCGATCAAACTAAAACGAAAAGCTTGGTCTCATCCAGATTTAAATGGGCGCTTACTTGACCGGTTAGGGTATTATTTAGGTCTAAACGGGTGCATATCTGACCTAGTTTCAAAATAGTATTTTTAGGTCTCTAAGTTAGTATGGTCTCATCCAGGTCCAAACGGGCGCTTACTCGATTGGTTAGGTGACGAGGCATGCTAACTTAGCGCTTATAGGACCTGACAGATGGGACCCATATGATAGCTGTAAGGCTCAATTTTTTTTAAAAAAAATTGTAATATGACCTCTGACTAGTCCGTCATCAGTTCTTAAACTTGTACCCTTCCGGTCCCTAAACTTACTAAATGCTCATCTAGATACGTAAACAATATATGGGTCTCATTGTTATCCTATGGAACCTCAGTGCAATCCTCAAGCTTGTTTACCTGTGTGATTCAAGTCCCAAACTATCAAAACGCTCCCAATAATAGACCCTGAGCGCAATGGTGTCCACGTGGCGTGCCCCCTCGACGCCGAGCTCCTATGTGGCCGGTCGCTTTCCGCCACTTCCGCAACGACCATGCACGGGGAGTCGGCCAACTGCAACGGGAGCAAGGGATGATCGTATTGAGTTCCATATTAAATATGTCGCTCAGGCTAATGTTTTACGAAGGCACTATCGCTCGGACATTCGGCACCAGCAGTGCGTCCAGACGCAGCTCAGCTAACCGAACCGTGGGCTAGCATCATGGCCCACCAATAGGACCGTCCCATCTCAGCATCCCGCATAATAGAAAAACTAAAGGGACTGAAGCGCCACCTATCCACGTAACAGAAGGTGCCCGCGTAACAGAGGGGAGAGCGTGCGCTCGCGTACATGCCGCCATCCCCCAACGAGCCCCATCCACTGCCCTGCTCGTGTCCCCTCCGTAGTCTGAGAAGGATGCAAGGTAGCGGAAGGCAAAAAAGGAGACACCAAAACGAGACAGCAGAAGGTGAGAAGGGACATGCAACACCGGATCCACTTTTAAAACATCCCGATACAACACTTGCAACATACCGAAGATAGATAAAACACTTGAAACATGTATCTGAAACACTTGCAAAACATATGAAACACTTGAAAATCATTGCAACACATACACAACATCCAGATAAAATACTTGCAACATATGTGTGAAACATATGCAGCATCTAGATAAACACACTTACAACATACGTCTGAAAAAACAGATAAAACATTGGGAACAGACGTTTGCAACATACGTGTACAACCACTGCAACATATGCAACATCCTAATCTACTTTTATAACATCCATACGAAACGCTTGCAACATACTTCTAATACATCTGAAATACTTGAAACATACGCTTGCAACATGCACTTTGAGCGCAATATCACCTTGCTGCTTGGACGAATGGAGCTTATCGCGGAGCTCGATGCCACGGAGTGCGCGTAGGTCACCGATGCGGAGCTCATCTGCGGCACGGACCTCGGCAGTGGCCGCAGCAGGTGGATGGAGCGCAAGCACGACGATAGGCGCGAGTTCGGGCGGGGGCGCGTGGTGCCAGCGGGGACGACGCCGACAGAGTCCATCCACGAGCAGGGGCGCGTAGGCCTGGGTCCACGGATGAGTGGACGAGGATGAGCCTCGTCCGAACGGGAGTTACGGGATGAACGCCCGTGGCATATCATTATCGAATGTTTTAACTTACCACATGGCGGATAATATTCATAATTGTATGATACAAAGAAAAAATATACAAATATAAATGTAAGACATATATAGTAATTCGTAATTAAAGTTTATCGTAATTGATAAAGAGTATAAAGATCTATTAAAATATGAGATAACCCCTTAGAATTGCTAGCCAGTGCAGGAGCACGGGTTGGTTGCTAGTAGAAATTAATTCATATTGTTCGGTGGCTTACGCATTATATTTGGAAATATGCATATCTGATCACCTTGTTCTCCAAGATGACAAGATACACAAGATGAACTCACGTCGCTGACCGACTGTCTGCAACTTCGACTTGGTGCCCAACTGGCTCCTCAAATTGTTCCCTCCTCTCAAGTATCTCATGTACACACTCTCGTATCTATTCATATAATTCCTAATTCTTTTTGTTCACAACTGATATCATTTAACCAATACAGGGTCGAATTAACGCAGATTATTATTAGAATTTGTTAAATTATTGTGTTATTTCCATAGTTCTCTATGTTGTTCAGTGTAATCTCAACTTAGTTAAATTTAACTATAGTCATCACGACTACTCTCTTATTCCATTTCACATTGATTACTGTATATTTTTCTCAGCAAATATTCATTGTGTTTAGTCTGTCAATGCAAAGATTTTTAGTTTGTTGCTTCATTAGGATTTCCATATCCAAACTCCAAAGGATAGACCATACCCCGGAGTGTTCTGCGATGAGTAGTTATTAGAGACTCAACAGTACTGCAGACGAGCTTGCAATTCGGTGGTTGAGCCCTGCTTGTGGGAGGCAGTACGTCGGCCGGGGTTCAAACCTTGGCCCTGCACCTACAGGGCGTAGCTCCTCCGGGTTCCAGGCCGCCCCAGTGTTGGAACTGATGGGGCCCATCTGTTGGCCCCATTCAATGAAAAATCGTCATTCCCATATTTTTTTCTTATTTATCCCTTAAAGGGCATTCTACAATTAATTCCGCAAATTTTTAATGAACTTTCTCAGAGATGAGGATGTGAAAATGCTTCTGTACAACATATTGAGGAAAATTCTTCTCAGATATATATTTGTTCTTTGTATTATCGAAACAGAAAGAAATATTATATGGTCAAATGGGAAGCATTGGCCACACCTCAGGAGTTTGGAGGCTTAGGTTTTGTAGATACTAGAGCTATGAATATAGTTCTTGTGGCTAAATGGATCTAGAAGTTGGACAGTGGAGAGAACATCATGGCTTTAGAGATGTTGAGAAAGAAGTATCTTAATGACCAGAGCTTTTGTCAAAG